CAGCAAATATCCAGTTAAGTTCCCCAACATTTTGTAGAGGGCGCGAGTGAACTTGGAGTGCCTCAAATTTTGGCGGTAAATGTCAATAGTTTCAAACCGCTTAAATTGAGTAGAAGGAAAAATGACAACATATGAACAATTAACAATGAATAAGTTGAAATATCTTCCAAAGCGTTTAGTGGCCCTTAGAGAATATTTTTAAAAGTGTCAGCGTCAGCTTGTTATGAAACCACACATCAAACTTAAATTTTGAGGTTAAAATTACAATCGATTATTTACGCGCCAAAATTTAAAGAGCTCCAAGTACAGAAGCGCCCTCTTCAACTCGACTGTCAATATTACATGCCATTGTTTGCAAATTATAATAATTTAAATTAAGGTTATGTCAAAAATAAAAAACTGTTAATTAATTAGATCATTAAGCCATAAAATGATTATTTCAGAATCAGAAGTTAGAAAAGAACAGAAATATATCAATTTGCTAAAAGTGAGATAAATATAATTTCTTTCAATGAAAATACAAATGACTGTCAAATGTGAAATAAATAAAATCATACTTTGAAAAATAAATCCATCGGATACCAGATGGCAGTACTGTATGATATTTGCATTTTACGGATTTGATGGATAGATGGCAGCACTTGTATTATTTGAATTTGAATTTGAATTTGAACTTTGTGGATATTATTTGGCTGATTCTGAAATGGGAAAAATACGACTTTATAATGAAAATAAGAAGAGATGGAACATGTTACGTAAATGATAAATTTATCATAACAAAGGAAGCTTGACCATATGATTAACCTCAACCTACGAATTACCTCCTCTCCTACTCTAGATAAAAGGCTTAACCTGGAACTTCCATTTGGCAAAAATAAACCAGAAAACTAGCTACTCACTATGGACCTGCCGCAGGATCTGTTGCAAATAAGGCTGGCCGTCCATTGGATGCGTAGTCGTACGACTTTGCGGTCGTGAATAATCGGACGACTTTGATCGTACGAATGTGAACGACTGCACCTCGTCCATTAGAAACGATTTTTGCTCGATAGTTCATTTCTTTATTTTGTAGCGTATGTTCAAGTGTGGACTTTGTGTTGGTAGTGTTTAGATATGAGTGATTAAAATGGACTTTGACATTATCCATTTTTTTGCGCAACCTTCTTCCACAACTTGCGTTGGACGTTTCTAGCATGATATCTGCTGCCACTCATATCTCATAATGCTTTTATTTCTCTCACCTCGCAAATAAGCTTCTCGCAATCAATAATTATCCACAATATGTAAAAAAATAAAAGTCTGCACTGGCTAAATTGCAAATACTAACCGAAAGTTGTTAGAAAACGTCCGACCAATCCCATTCAAATGGGACCAGTCGGTGGTCGAATGAAATCGGATCTAGTCGTGCGACCGAATTCGTGTGCAGTGGATGAGCGTTCTATTTATTTTTATGTGAAGGGATTAGTCGGACGTATACGGACGACTACGCACGACCGCAAAGTCGTACGACTACGCATCCAATGGACGGCCAGCCGAATGGGGAATTGGGCCCCGGCAAATATACTACATGTATATACTATACTGGTTAGATATTGTCTACCTTACATGGGACCACGGACTACATTCAGATTTAATGCTCTGACCCACGGGTTAAAACAAATAACTGAAACTAAGTAAGAAAACACAATCAGACTAATTAACCTAATTTTAGTCAGCAAATATTGGATATAAAAGAAACTGGCCACACTATGGCAAATCAGTCATGTCTCAGCGCTTCTCTGTATCAGTAGGTGCCTAAGCACGCCTCGGACGAATAGAAATTGCGTGTCGTATCTCTGTCCGAGCAAATTTCATCTGACGACCCAGACTCTGCGGTTTGGTTGTTTAGTAGCACTGCTGACCATAAAGATAAAGCTTGGGCTTATACCCGACGGATTCGTTTAGGTGCCCTAAGACCCTTTTCAGTCCGAAGGGACGTGCTGGCTCACGATGGATTTCTATACTCTAATAAAGCAATTTCTAGACTATTACACTTTCGAAGCATATTCTTTGCTATTTGGGCTGCCTTTTCTGCAAGGATCTCGGATAGTTCCAGTCTTTTGCAAACACCCTACACTCAAAAGAACTGAATGGCATATTATCTGCAACAACCTCTAGTGGTATTCCGTGTGTGCAGAAAACATATTTAAAGCTTTAATTACAGACTAAGAATTTTTATTTTCTAAATGTATCACCTCTAACCATTTTGACAAATAGTCCATAACTAAATAGGTTTGTCCAGCAACGTCCATAATATCACTTGCTAATCTTTGAAATGGTAAGTCAAGCAAATTTCTTAAGATCAAATTTTTTTGTTTCATTTTGAAAGTCTGCCAACCTTCCTTCAGTCACGTTTATAGAGTGGACTATTTTTGTTAAAAACTTACGTCATCCTTGGGTACATCTTTGATAAAATTCCTCGAGAGCAAATCTGCAATCAGAATTTCCTTACCTGGTTTGTATTGAACATCTATATTATATTTGAGTAACTTGACTTTCATTTTTTGTAGTCTAGGGGCCGGTACTTTTGCTCTTCGTCAAATAAATTTGATAGCCGGCTAAATCGATTTGATATGTGGTCAGGCATAACCAGCCATTTTGCAGTACTTTTGGTGTCGATTAAACCTTAATCATGGTTAAGTTCGGTCCTGGCCTCTGTTAAATTTGACGGCGAACTGAAGCAGCGGTTATTCAAAATAACGGAGGTTTCCTAACCTATAATTTTATAATCTATTTTTGAAAATTAGACGTTCTGTGGTTTGTGCTGCTGAAAATTGTGAAAAATGGATTTAAATGAATTGATTGAGTTGTTTGACGATAATGATGAGGACCTTATAGATTTTATAAGAAATATAAGAACATATACTATTAGGGAACGACCCAATCATTTTGCATTATGGAATGATGATGAATTTTTCAAAAGATTTCGTTTTAAAAAACAGACTGTTCAGAACTTACTTCCCCAAATCGAAGAAAATTTGATTTATGATACTCATCAGTAAGTAAATAATACATTATTATATCAGTAAATGAATATTGAATTTGTTGTTGGCTCGATCTAACAACAACAAATTTTATGATCTGATTTTTTTTCTAGATCTCGTGAAGTTGATCCAATGGGGCAAGTGTTAATAGCACTGCGTTTTTATGCCACTGGCCAGTTTTATGTCACTACAGGTGATTTTGGCGGAATTCATAAGACAACAGCTGGTAGAATTCTTGAAAGAGTTACTGATGCAATTTTAGCTCTTCGACCAACATACATAAAATTTCCAAATAATGTTGAGGAAATTAATAGCACCAAAGCTGGGTTTTATACCTTAGCTAGATTTCCAAATGTTATAGGAGTAGTCGATGGAACCCATGTGCCTATTCAATCGAGAGGTAAAAAATCACTTACATAGGTATATTTTCATGAATCTTTCACTCTTCAAGAAAAACTGATAGCTTATTAAATTTTTGAGTTTGACTTAAAAATAGTTACATAGTTACTTATATTATTTTAAAATGTGTTCCTACCCAAATATATATTTTTTACAGGAGGTCCAAATGCAGAAGTCTTTAGGAGCCGCAAAGGATTTTTTTCCATGAACGTTCAAATTATTTCTGACAGCCGTAATTACATCATGGATATTGTAGCTCGTTGGCCTGGGTCAGCACACGACAGTCATATTTTCAGAAATTCAGTGATTAAAGGGCGATTTGAGAATAGAGAATTTGACGGGAGTGTCCTGTTGGGTGATAGTGCTTATCCACTTACAAATTATTTGATGACACCGATTCCTAATCCTCGAACTCCAGCTGAAGAACTTTTCAATAGAGCTCACATATCCACTAGGACTTCCGTTGAGCGAACCATAGGAATATGGAAGAGAAGATTTCCATTACTCAAAATGGGTATAAGATGCAAGACTCCTCGAGTGCAAAGGCTTATAATAGCTTCTGCTATTTTACATAACATTGCAGTTATCAATAGGGACCAAATGAATGATCCTAATCAAGATGAAAATGAAGCATTACCTTTAGATAATGACGATATCATTATACCAGCTAACAATCGAAATAATCACGTCCTCCAGACCTATATAAATTATTTCCAAACTTTGTTATAAAGGGACTTATTACATGAGCAGATTTTGTTAATTATTTAGGGCCAAATTATGGACCAACTGGTAAGGGTCTGGTTGTTACCTAGCAGGTACTTTCTATTCTCTAGTGCATAGAAAGTACCTGCTAGGTAACAACCAGACACTTACCAGTTGGTCCATAATTTGGCCCTTAGGAAAATGAGAAAATAAGCTAACATAATAAACAAAGGACATTGGTGAATAAAATCATTATTTACATTAAAATATATTATGAATTATCAAATAAATATATTAATTACTTAACTAGAACTTATATTATAGTATGTATGTATGTACAGGCAAACAGGGTGTTTCCACATATTGAAAATGTGAAATTTTTTATACTTTTTATCTTTTTCTAAGTGGAATTGCCTATATTTGGTACCATATTCTTGAAGAGCATAATTTCCCGATTCCAAAAATATATAGTTTCTCTATATTTGGTTGAACATTCTCCAAAATATTTGGCTTTAAAAATTTTAAAAAGAAACCATGCGCCACAAGCCTGCAGCTTTCACCTTTACAGGTAGAATGGTTCATAAAATATCTTGATGATAGTATCCTCACAATTTTTACAGCCAAATATATAAGAGACTGCCCAACCAAACATAGGCAGACTATATATTTTTGTAACAGGAAAATTTTGTCAAAATATGGGGAAACACTCTGTACATAATTATTTTATATTGGTGAGATTATTCAATTTTTCATTTAGTTGACATTTCAATATTTCTATTTTTAGTTCCTCTTTAGTCGCTTTGGTTTTTTTTCTTCTCTCGCATAGCCTCAAGCTGGATTTTTTTATGTTCTAACTCCGTTTTTAGGATTTCCCTTCTAATGTCCCATTCCTCTTTTTGGTTTTTTTTCTTCTACTAGCTTCATGCGAAGCTCAACTTCAAAGCATTTTTTCTGCTCCGACGCTAAATCGGTTTTTTTTTCTGATAATGCCTCGAAGGCGTGAAGAGAAGTTTCTTTATCAACAGCCGAAATTGTCCTTTTCCTTTTCAAATTCCAGCCTGATTTTGCCTGCAAATAATTTTTTCAAGTTGTAGCTAAGCGAGTTGAAATAAATACTAGATAATCACAATAATTCATTATTCATTCGTAAAAACCTTCTCTGTAAGTTACTAGGTCCACTCACCAAATAACTTGCATAGTCTGTTTTTAGAAATACCAGTAACAATGGTACTGATACTTTACCCAATAAAATAGTAAGAATGTTTGGAATGGGCTTTGCGCCACTACATTGATTCCAGGATGAGATAGCGCTAGTAAGGGCACAAAATCCATTGGATCTCCCGGATTTCTCACTCTAACCCTGAGCGAGGTAGCGCTAGTAAGGACAGAAAATCTCATGGATTTCTCTCTTTCTCTAACTCCAATGTTGGCCGCAAATATACGTAGGTATTGAGTACCTAGATAAAGGGCCATTCCAAACGTTCTTACTACTTCATTGTACTTACCGCTGATTTGACTGATTCCCTTGCAGGATGCTCCTCTGGGTCTTGATTCTCTTCATCCATATTTTCGTTTTCGATCTGCATTATTGATTCATCAACATCCTAAAAAAAGTTACATTGGTCAATAGATTATTCAGCTAACTGCCACTGGTGAGAAAATTGTATTATTTATATGAAATAGCTATTTAACTAACAAGTGCGGAAAAATATTTTCCGCAAGTGTTAGGTACATTATTTTTTCTACAGGCGTAAAAATGTAGATTTTTTTTTTTGACAGCCGTGCGGTGAAATTTTTTCCGCACTAACGCCGTGCGGAAAAACTTTTTCCGCACTGATATGCGTGCGGAAAATGAGTTTGCCCGCACGGTGCGGTAAAACTTTTTTTTTTGACATATCAGTGCGGAAAAAGTTTTTCCGCACGGCTGTCAGTGCGGAAAAAACTTTACCGCACTGATATGTCAAAAAAAAAAGAAAAATTTTACATTTTTACGCCTGTAGGAAAAATATTGTACCTAACACTTGCGGAAAATATTTTTCTGCACTCGGCTGCATCACTGAACTCCGCTACGCGTCGTTCGGTGAACGGCAGCCGCGTGCGGAAAAATTCATTTTCCGCACTTGTTAGGTAAATAGCTATTTCCTACAGCTACCTCTGAAAATAGAGTTTTTCACTAGCTATTTACCTAACAATAGTGGGGAAAATGAATTTTCCACGAGCCAGCCGAGTGCAGAAAAACATTTTCCGCAAGTGTTAGGTACAATAGTTTTTCTACAGGCATACCTACATAATTTGTAGTAATTTATTAGTATTTTTTTCTGACAGCCGTGCGGAAAAATTATTCCACACTAGTGCAGGAAAACTAATTTTCCGCACTGGTATCGGTGAGAAAAATTGATTTTTTATGCAATTGACAAGAAATGTCAGCATTTTTGACCGGTTGACAGGTCGCAAAACTCCATATTCTAGTATTTTAATTATGTTTCAATAGTTGCTAAGGAATCAATGAATAACAATACAGAAAACACTTTTCCGGCCTAGGCCGGAAAAGTGATTCTCGTACTGCTGAATAATTAGAACCAAAAGACAAACATTTAACAGGTATTTAACCGATCGCAGAAAAAATTTTATGTGTATTTCGGTGGAAAAGCAGTTCTCGGCCTTCGGTTTGCCGGCCTCGGCTACGCCTCGCCCGTCAACTTACACCGTCGGCCGAGAATGTGTCACTTTTCCACCTAAATACACAATATACTATTTCCAGACGGCTGTTGAAAAAGATTTCTCACACGCTGCTTTAATTAGTTTGTTTATTTATTTATCAAAATTACATATTTGGTTGTATTTTTTTTGCAGTTGTAGGAAAAGCATTGTAAAAAACTCGTTTGAAAACCTTTTCTCACACTCGCTCGACTTGTGGAACTCGCCTACGGCTCGGCCCAACAAACTGTCTAGCCGAGCGAAAAAATCGTTTTCAAAACTTGTTATTGTTTAAATAACTATTTTCTTCAAGCGTGCGGAAAATCGATTTTTTCGCACAGATATCGATGAGGAAAAATTTTTCCACACAGCTTTCAAAAAAAAAGTTAACAAATTATGTAGGTAGACTTATTTCCGTACGTCTGTAGAAAAACTATTGTACCTAAAACTTGCGAATTTTTTTTTTCCGCACTCGGCTGCTTCACCGAACTCCGCTACGTGTCGTTCGGTGAAAGACAGACATTTTAGTTAAATAGCTAATTTGTTATTACAGAAACAGTAGGGAATAGTTAATATCTTACTCTGGTAGAGCTTTCTCCAATATCAGAAACGACATCTATTTCGACTATTTCGACTGTCCTTAATGCCTCCCCTGAAAAACAATAACTGTTTATTAATAGCAAACCTCCAAAGGGGCTAGATTATCCAATTTCCGAGCCAATTTATCTAATATTTACCATCTGGATTATCTTCCAACAAGGCGCGAAATGAATATGATGTGCTGGGTTTTGGGTCATTTTTTTTCAAAGGGGTCGTTAGGGCATCGGAATCGCCTTCTGATGGTAGCCCATCAATACTCACTTGAAGCACCTGATATAAAGCTTCCTCATACCATAAGAGTGGTTCTTCCTGTGGTGGTCCTCCGCCGGTTTTTGTCAACTGCTTTTTATTGTTTTGAATTTTCTTTTTTAAATTTCTCTTGATGTTATCATATTTTAATTTAAGAGATGTTAAGTCCCTGGCCTGATCGGTATTCTGTGCAATAAAATTTTCATGCACCTTTTTCCATTTTGTTTGTTTCTCTCTTAAAGATACCCCATCAGTCTGTTTGTTCTCGATTACATTGATGTGAGGGAGTAAACAATTCATAAACAGGTTTATTTCTGCTTTGGACCAATTAACACCCCGTTTTTTTTTTGTCTTCGTTATCCATTTCACACAAATTTAACTTTTTAACACAGGAAAAACGAAAAGTTGAGCTTGTGGTTGAGCTTTTACGTAGAATAACGCGGAATAACGGTAGAATTGAAGTTTTTAAATTCAAATTTTAATTTCGCATAAAATCATAGATGGCGCCTGGCTCCATAATGTCTTTGAGCCAAAATTTACTTGATAAAAAAAGAAGAAGAAGACAATATGAGTTGATTAACTAACGACCCTGGCAAATTTAGCGAAAGTACCCAAATAACTTTAATCAGCATTTTAAACATTGATCAATATTTAACAGCCTGTTCACTGATCAAATATTTGACAGAGGGCAAAAGTACTCACCTCAGCAACGCCTTTCTTCATTATGGATGTCAGAGGTTTATGATCTGTATAAACAAGAACATGTCTAGCATACATGTAGTTATGGAATTTTGGGCATGAAAAAAGGATAGCATTAAACTCTTTTTCTATTTGACCAATCCTTGTCTCACAGTCACTAAGTGCACGAGAAGCAAAAGCAACGGGTTTGTGATTTTGTAAGAGAACACAACCAACACCATTTTTACTAGAATCTCTTTGTATGACTATAGGTTCGTTTTTGTCTAAATTAGCTAACACTTGAGGAGAACTGATAAGTTTTTTAATTAAATTGAACGAATCTGAATGAGTCTTTGTCCAAAGAAATATAGAATTTTTTAAAAGTAAACGGCGCAAAGGAGTTGAGATATCTGACAAGGAGGAGGTACTTCTCTTATGGCAAATAGATTTGCGACAGATTTTTCTGAAATTTGGATATGTTGTAGTTTTTCAAACTTTGATTAAAAGACATCATTGGCCGTTCCTCGTGCGGTGCCTTCAGAAGGCGCCAAAGTTTCATATAACTTGGTGTAATTGGGTAACTACCCTCACAGAAATAAGGATATAAGTGTCTAAAAAATCAATTTTTAATAATATTTGGTTGTTACGTTTGCGATATTTATACAAAATATCTTACATGGCGCATATTCATAATAATCCTAAATTATTAATATTTTTGAATCTATAATTACACCACACCAAGTTATATGAAACTTTGGCGTCCTCTGGAGGCTAAACTATCAACCGCACAAGGTTCGGCCAATAATGGCTTTTAATCAGAGCCTTAAAAACTACAGCATATCCAAATATTAGAAAATCTGCCAAAGATCCATTTGCCATAAGAGAAGTTCCTCCTCCTTTGGCATGTAATTTCTAAAATAATTGATCATACCCAACATACATTGTAATTCTCTTTTGTTTTTGGGCTCATCAAACAACAAAATTGCTTTAACTTTTTTCCTCATCTGGTCGCATACCATATTTTTCAAATATGTTACCTAAATACACAACTTCTCGTACTCTGTATTGAATTTTATTTTTATTAAGTTTAACACTAACATTTTTAGCTCTCTCTAGAACTTCACTAAAAATTTTGTCATGAAGTTCCAAACTCTCAGCTGCTATAAGTAAGTCGTCAAACTAAACTATTACTCCAGGAATGTCGCCAAAATTGTCATTATTTATTTGTTGGAAAAACTCTGGGGCACAATTAAGCCCAAACGGCAAGCGTAAAAATCTATAAGCTCCTAAAGGAGTTCCAAAAGAGCAAAGCTTACTTGAATACTCATTAAGCTCAACTTGGTAAAACCCCTCTTTGAAATCCAAAACTGTAAAATATGATTTATTTTTTAATTTAGCACTTATATCAGCTGTTGGTATTGAACAAAACTCTCTTTGTGAAGCAAAACTAAGATCCTTTTAAGGCCGTTTTACAGCTTGCAATTCTATCTACAATACGCAAGAAACTTGAACGAAGGCATGCGCAGAAGTGTGATAGCTGATTATTTTCTGCAAGATTTTTGAAACTTGAATGGCACTGCATGCAAAGGGCTTAGTGTCATTTTTCTTGAAGGGTTTTCGCGCAAACTGGGGAATTTTTAGTATATGATGCTTAAAGTGGCTGCTTTCTTTTTTTTTTATATCGACTTATAATCACCTTTTTTCATTCTTGGAAAATGCGAACATCAACAAAATAAAATTAAAAACAAAAAAGTATGGTTAGGGTTAGGGAAGGAAATAAGTCAAATTGCAAGGTGTAAAACGGCGTGCAAGAAATCTTGAATGCAATTGATTCAAGTTTTCTTGCAAGTTGTAAAACGGCCTTTAGGGTCTAGAAAAAGCCTAAGAGATTTATCCTTTTTTTTTCTACTATGACTAAGTTACTGAGCTATTCAGTGGGACTTTCGCACAAGTATTCCTTGCACATACAGGGGTTTAGTCCCCTAGGTGCATCAATTAAATAAGTATAATACATCCTTTTTTTGTGTATTAAATCATACCTACTAGTAAAATTGTATCAGATTGTATGTAATATATTATTATTATATTATTATTATTATTATTATTATTATTATTATTAACCAAATCATCCAAATGTTCTTTCAACCGATTTTTAAGCGACTAAGGGACTTTCCTATAGGTGGCCTAGCAACGGGTTCACAACATTTTTTTAATTTCAGTTTACATATTTTTTTTTATTGATCGATAACCTATTTGACTTATTTAAAGTAGTCCTCAGCGTGTTTAAATCCAACATTCAAAAACGCGCGTGTTTTAAAGTTATCATGACAACATCTAGTGGTGTTATGGACGAGGTTATGAGTCTATAACACAACTATTTTTGGTGATTTGACAAATGTCAAAGGTAAACCTGTAAAGGTAAAATGAAGGTAGACAACTATTATAAACGAAAATAATTGGAAAAATATTCTTATTTTTCGCTTTGTAGATAAAACGTTGTACATCACTCGTGCGTTTAAACATGACTACAAAACTCGTGTGATTAGAACGACTCGGTCTACGACCTCGTCGTTCTAATCCTTCACACTCGTTATTGTAATCATGCTCATAAACGCACTTGTAATGTAAATAAATATAATATCCACTTATACTTTAATATACTATTTTGAAAGTTGCCTAAACCATCAAATACAAATACATCCATGTTGTTTTTTACCAATTTTGCTTTACATTTGTTCAAATTAACCATATTTACTTTTGTGAAAATATATAAATCCATACAAGATTTTACTCCAAGAATAGGCATAGATTTTTCTTCGACATTTACAAATTTAAGGTTGAAATTATTATCATTATACATTACAATCCAAATCAACTACACCTAAAAGTGAAATTTTAAACCCAGCATATGTTTCTAAAACTATTTTTGATTAACAGAGAGAAAACTGTTTATTTTTAATCTTTTGAGAAACTTTCAAAGGAATGTTTACATGTGATCCTGTGTCAATCTTAAAAACATTAGCCTGGCTATCTAATATGACCTTTTCCGTCCATTCATTTCTATCCGTGATTTCATTTACCATTATCGTTGTCACGAAGTAACCTTCATCGTCTTTGTCTTTCTCATCTTCTGACTCGTCTTCCTTTTCAACAACTTCTCTCACATACTGTCCATAGATCTGCTTCTGCAGAAATCACAAACCAGTCAGAGTGAATTTCATTGGTTGAAACTAGTTTTCTGACTGTTTCTGACTGTTTTCAACCAATGAAATTCGATCTGACTGGTTTGTGATTTCTGCAGAAACAGACCTCATAGCGACTACGACACATTTTTTTAAAATGTCTAAATTTTTTTAAAAACAATTGTTGTGACGTTACCTGGAACTAGTGAAATGGACCCACGATCAGAACATCTGGCAACAGCGCGCTGTCAAGCACCTGGAAAAGAGAGAAAGAGCAGCGCAACGACGGAACGCGGGACCGGCGACCATTCATTCCTTTTCAAGCAAAAGAGAGGAACAACACGATTCATAATTATCATTTTTTAATAGAGCTATAGTAAAAAGAAGCAAATATTAATATTTTGCGTACAAAATTTTTGTAATCATTTTTTAATAACAAAATCTCTCGATTTTAGTTGAAATAAAAAAATGTCGAACCTGCCTATTCAACATTTCTTGTCAAAAGCAGGACACTTCCTGGGACCATGTTCAAAACCACAGCTTCCACAATCGAACGTTCTGCTTTTGATCACTTCGGCCTCCAGCGGCTCCAGCACTTGGTCTACCATCTCCTTGTTTTGTTTCACAATTCTCTGACTTTAAATCGCCTCTACCTTTTCCTCTTGATTTTGTACATCTTTCAGTTGAGCTTTTGCTAGCTCATTAGCTCGACACTTGTCAATGGCCCTTTCTATAGAGTTGAATTTTCGGTATGCAATAATCTTTCTTGTAATTCTGAGCTGCGTATACCAAATACTATTTTTAATCATAAAATCACAAGAGGCATCAAAATTACAGGTCTTAGACAGTTGCTTTAGCTCTGTTAAAGGATGATCAAACGGCTCAACCTCTTCCTGCTTCCGATTATAGAATAAGAACCTTTCATACACAACATTCTTTTTAGGGGTCATGTATTTCTCAAACTCCGACAATACTTTTCCAAAGTCATCTTTATGAGCTTCCGTCAATTTTAAAGTATTGTACAACTTCAGGCCTTCTTCTTCCATAAGATTAGGCAACAAAGCTACTTTCACCTTATCTTCTTTCTTACTTTTGCCACTAGTAAGCAAATATATTTCAAAGGACTGTTTAAATCTGCGAACATTTTCTCTCACATTTTCAAACGATAAGGGTTGTAGAAGCGTCGTACGTCAGACATTTTAGTTTTTGTTAAGATACTTTATTTAGGTATTAACAAAAGGATTATTTACCCACAAAAGGATTTACTGCATGCCCTCCAATTCTACGACGACTGCGCCATTTAATAATATCAAACACAATCGGTTCTTGAGTTCTTGATTAACTCTGATGTTTATTGATTATGATGTGTGAAATTCAATTACAAATTAACTTGTGGCTTTATTCGTTGCGTCTATTCTCAGGTTCTCACTAGGCAGGTAGTGTTTGTTGGCTACATACATTCGTCGCTGATCTCGCATAGTGGCGTAAGCGACATTCCCTAAATTTTACAAGAGATAGAATTTAATAAATTTACTTTTGATATGGTGCATGTTAATCCAAAAATAATTGGATAGTATATTAATTCATATTCTATGTAAGTACACTGAGGGGTATAGATAAAAACTATAATAGTCAAATCGGTAGACCTTGCTTCTAATGTCTCAAAAAAGGCACTAAATGGACATACGCCTGTCTGCCAGATTCTTATTGGATCGATATGTCAGATACGCCTTGGATGGTAATATGCACTAATAACAATCGGTAGCGACTAACCGTTGTTATTTAAGGAAAATTAAAGGAAACTAGTGTATTAAATCAACGAGAAATATTTTAATTAAAACTAAACACTCTAAACAACCTATTTTAAACGAATTAATTTTTCTCAACTGGAACGAAATTAGCACTAATTATTATTATGAAGAAGATCCCTGAAAAATTTTTGAAAAAGTTCATTTCGCACAACTGGCGTTCGTCCTCCACAAAGTTGAACTAGGTCATTGTATTTTTTTGCATCCAATTTTATGGAACCATTATTAAGTTTCAATAAAGGTTGGTTCATCACTCCCAAAGCGTTTCTTTTCAAAGAGAGAGTATAATAATTTTCGGCAAGATGACTGTTTTTTACAAAAAGACGCGTATTTTGATGTTTTTTAACCATAACTTCTTTGACCTTTGTCCAGTCAACATCTTCACCAGAGTCAAATTTTCTTATTGAACGAATTCTAACTTTTTCAGCCAGGGCCTTGTAGTTATAGAAATCATCACTACTCATTGTGATTACGTTATAGGGCATCGCTCTTCTGGCTAGTTTTAAAATAGGGGGTAGTTGAGCAGGTATAAAAATATCTCCTGCTAAAGATATGGCATGAGAAATTGAGCTGTGCGCAGAATCGCCCTCGCTCTGACCATGATTTGTTTCAAAGTAACTTAGAACAATTTTTTCCATATTTTTTGCATTTGTAATTACGTATAGCATCATAGCTAGAACAATAGTGTTGCGGTTTTGGCAGCTACAGCCATCTGCAAATAACCTGACTTCCTTGATCCCTCGATTGTCTAGCTCATTCAGATATCTTGCTACACATGTTGATATTTCGCTAGCCCCTCGCTTACTTATAGTTTCATCCCAAAAGAAACAATAGCATTTTTTATTTCCGATATTGTAAATTGTGAAGTTGATTGAAGAGAGGCGGCGACGAAAAAATAAGGCACTCTCTTTACTTTTTGGAAGCTGTATAACTTGTTGTAGTTCAAATACAGCAGCAGCCAGAACGCTAGGATTTAACTTTGATGTTTCCTTGGCTTCTTCTTTTTTCCTGCGAACAGATATCTTTTCAGCAGTATGATTATTATAAGCATCCTCGAGTTCCAGTTTTCTTTTTTCATCAGCTTGCCTGTATGATAAGCACAAAGTACATTGATCCTTCTTAGGATGATGAAAGGAAATATTTCGAGATTTAAAAGTCCGTCGATATGTATGATAACTACAATGTGGTTGGTTGCCATTATCGTTTTGGTAAAAATAGTACATTTTTTTCACAGTCAAATCAGGGTGTAAGTATTCTCGTGAAGAGGACTGCCTACAAAAATGTGACTCCATTCTAGGAAACTTCTGAATGTGTTCTAATGCTGAAGCTCTCATTTTTGCATCGTTTTCTTTCAACATTTCATGTCGCCCTCCTCGTCTATCGGGCTCTACTATCCCTTCTTCTGTTCTTTTAGATAAAGCCGTACGCATTGTCTTTTCTGAAATTCCCAAAGTGTTTAAAAACATTGTTTTACAAACTACGGACATTCCGTCACTTTTAGGAAGGTGGTATTCAAATGTCTTCGACCTACGTGAAACTTCTTTGTCTGTCCTTTTCCGCTTGATAGCTTTGATCTGTACGTGTCGTATAATAAACTCCCTTTGTTGCTGTAAGCTCTTTGTACCATAAAAAGCGTTGAATATTTTCTGCCTTTGGACATCACTAATGCTGCATACTGTACTCTTGCATTTTTCACTAGTACAACGAGGTTTAATCCCTTTAGCTAAAACAGCCTTTCCAGAGGTGCTACTGACATAAGCTTCTCCCGCTACTCTCATGTCATGATCTTCCTTTTATTGCCCTTCCTCACTTTATCAAAGGATACTTCCCTTTGTTATCCATCCACAGCATATCTTCTGCGAATCTCTAGGTTAGTTTTCATACCTTTAGAAAGCAAAATGGGCGGTATATTTTCCTCATTTTCGGAAGAAACGCTGTCAACATGTTCAGTACAGGTTTTGTTGTTGATAAAATGTTCCCAACAAAGCAACTCAGAACATCTTTCACATGCTGCCCATATTTCACTCTACAGTTTCGAAATGCACAGCTCAATCTGTAGGTGGGGTCGTGATCGCTGTTAGTAGATTTATATTGCTCAGGTTCTCTTTGAATACAATTTTCTGAAAACTTTGTGCAAACTGGAGAAGTTGTTTGAGGGTTTTGTCTTACAACACTCAGTGGAACATTTTGGAGACATTTACTGCCAGGCTCGCTAATTGACTTCAAAACAGTTGTAACTGGCTCAGCAACACTAAAAGCACTCTTATATACTTCCTTTTTCCTGTTGTCATTATCCGTTATTTCTTTTGCACTTCTCGAATTTTCCGGTAACTTTCTATAAACTGATGAAGCTCTTTTGATGTTTTGTTTTAAAATACTGAGAGGCAAATTGTCATCTTCGTCACTTTCTATTTCGTTTTCTGTTTGTATCCCAAAGTAATATTTTTCTTCTTGACGCCCGTACATTTTATAACAACACGACTACCAATACCAGTGTTTTTCTCTACAGTCTCGAGTTCAGTAGACAGTATTTTATCTTATTTTATAATAATTGATATTATGTATAAATTTTTACCTACGAGCGTGCGGTAAAGTGCACTTTACCACACGTATTTGCAAATAGAAAGTATCACTTTACCGCATAGTGTGCGGTAAAGTTAACTTTACAGCATAGTATGCGATAAAGTAGAATACAAAGTGTGCGGTAAAGTTCACTTTACCGCATAGTGTGCGGTAAAGTAGAATTTGATATTTATAATCAAAAATCCTCTCTTTTTCAGAAAATGGATTTTTGATCATTTCTAAATCTTATCTAATTTTATTAATTAATCTGATTCATTAATTAATTTTATCAATGCCTTTTTTTGGAGATGTAGATGCTCATAGGTAAAATTTTGTACCTAACACATGCGGAAAGTGCCTTTACCGCCCTTAACGGCTTGACCGAACTCCGCTTCGCGTCGTTCGTTCAACTGCCGTTGCGTGCGGTAAAGTATCACTTTCCGTATTTGTTAGGTAAATAACTATTTTCATTCACATTATGACATGAACACAAGTCATTTGTAATCTTTGACAATACGTCGAAATGGAAAAATTCTCTAATAGTCGTAAAAACAATGTTTTTCAACCGTTTTCCTTTCACTGATGCAAGAATCCGTTCATTTTTAACATTGGGGCGTATCACAAAATACTGCTTACAAAAGATTCAGCGGATAGGCGTAAGTCCATGTTATGGATTTACGCCTCTTTGTTAGATTTCGATTTTAAATTGATGACGCTTACGCCCATTGAAAATGTGACTTTATTATTAGCCCCGAAGGAATGGATGTACGCCTGTGTACCAGATCATAGATTAACCGACTGGGAATCTTTTGGTGCTCTCAACATACATTTTGAAATTTTGGCGCTTATGCCACTTTGCCAGATCAGCGACGAATATATCCTATTCACAATCCGTAGTCCAAAGGTAAAGGTAAATTTATCACCTCCCCTTATCAAATAGCACTGAAAGGTGATAAATTTCACCTTTACCTTTCGACATCGGATTGTGAATAGATAATATATGGCAATACTTATTACTTACTTATTGTTACTTTGGTAATACTTACGTGTTTTACTCTAAATGTAATCTCTGCCCTATACATCAAATATATTATATTTAGCTAAAACTATTCTGGTGTTCCCTGTTTCCTTCTCGTTCTGCTTTTCAGGTCGAATAGTCGAGCTACATCGCGAAGGGAGATAGGCTATTTGACATTATCACTACGACAACAGTAGATATGTAGATTCCCCTAGGAATTTCCCCTTTCTAGATCTATCTGGGGGGGTTTATTTGAAACGTGCAATTCAAATGCGTCTGACTAAGTCACAATTTTCGCCGGTATTTCAATGCTAAAAAATGCGACTTAGTCAGACGAATTTGAATTGCACATTTCAAATAAACCCCCCCAGGAAGGTGTTACGTTCAAATTTTGCCTTAATATGTAAACGTGAGATTTCGAATGAATTCGGCAATTAATTCAGGTATTTGTGAGGGTATTTAGAAAACTTATTACCTGAGGATTAATATTTTTCAGTGATTGATAGGTTTTTCATTGAATTTTACTAGATTTCTACCTCTTTGATTGGATGCGAAACAATATCTAGTTGTTGAACAAGGGTATATTTTTCGAGGTAATAATGAGTAAATTCTTGTATTCAGATGACAGGGTGGTTTTAGGATAATAAAGCCCTACTGTTAGGATCGAAATCTATTTTATTTAGCTTATGAAAGTTGTCTAAAAGGCCCTAAATGCCGATGAAAAGGTTTGTTTACTTCCAAATAAATATCAATTGGCAACACTTACGAGTCACGTATTTTCCATTATTAAAAATTCTGGGGAATTTTTCATAGGAGCTCACCTAATAGATCGCTGAAAATAGGGTCATTCTTTTTAAATTCGCACATTGAGCAGACAAGTGGCAGATTTTACTAGCGGTCCTGTTTGCTAAGTTCCTTGGAACATCCACCTTTTGTGGGAATTTGGAGGCGTTGGAAACTCAAGTGGTTGCTAGCTTAATTATTGGTTTTGGAGTGAAACTTGGTTTTGGTCGTAAGTCCCCGTATTTGTAAGCCGTGTGAGCAGAGAGCACGTTTTGTTCAACTAGCCCAATTTGTAACCAGGGTTTTCTAGGAGCTTAGATTTTACCTTTACCATTGAGTTAACCTTTTTGACGGTTTACTGGTCTCGAAGTTGGGGTGTCAGAGTACACAGAACACTGAATTTGGAACCGGAAGTTACCCTATTTGAGAAGGGAGGTCAAGGAGTTAATGGGTCTATTATCAGGGCTGTGAGGCTGTCATGAGACAGTGATGGAAATTTATAATGGATGTTTAGATTGCAGACAGGACCACAAGGGGGTGATGTACCCGTTAACTTATCATTAACATTTTTTCAATTATTTTCTTATTTATTATTAATAGTATTTCTTGTATTTAACTTGGTACATTTCCATGCTTGTTTTACTGCCTTCATTATCACAATGGGTGTACTGCACCAATAAATTTTAATTGACTATATTTAAGGAGATATTTTTGTACAAACCCGCCCCGGTTTACCATGGTATAGGCGAGCACAGGTTTTAATTATTACGATTAATCTTTTCATTCCTTAATTGTTCTCTTGCACTCTCATTGGAGTAAGGTAGTCAAACATTTATTGGTAAATTTTGAACATATTCGAGTGTCCTATTTAAGACCAAAACAAATTGGTCCTTGCTATACCTTCTGGTAATTTTACCAATTACATTAAATAATAATTACTGTGGTATTTTATATATTTTATGTCATACCAATACATTATTGTGTTTTTATACCTTAGATACCATCTATATATTTCATGACTTTATGCCCGTGCGGGCATAACGTACACATTATGGCCCGCGCGGGCATAAAGACGCAAAAAAAAGTTTTCAATTAACTTATTCTTTATTAACAAAATATAAATTTACGCTTATAAACATATTATTTTTATCAAAAAATGATGATTTTGAACACTGATGACAATTTGCAAAGTGACACTTTTTTCCCAGGTATTTATTATTCACAACCAACTAGTATGACATAAAAATTTGTATGCACCACGGGTACTAATAGATATATATACCCTGTAGCCCTCAGGGCATAATCATCTACTTAGTACCCTTGATACATAAATAACTAATATTGCCTTCTATTGGCCTTTGCAGTGGCCCTCCATTGTATTAAATAGATTTATAATCATTAATTTTAGATTTTACTCTTATTTTACCCCTACTGACCTCAACCAAACTAAGGTGAAGTTATTTTAGAGACATCGGGTAGGTACATTTTTATAGGAATTTCGGAGATCAGGGACTTTCTGGTTTAAGTCCGCGGATTTTATTTTGTAAACCAGTGGCGCCCTATGAAGCTTACTTTAAATATTGAACCTACTCCCACACCACTGTGTAGCCGCGAGCACTTTGTTGCGCTGGCCGCATTCCTTAAGGGTGTCTTACTGTACCTAGGCCTATTAGGGTTTACTTATTCTAAGTTATTATTCAAACAGTTTAAGGGTTAATTTTTGCGCAACAACGGAAAGGCCCTGAAAACAACCCATAGAATATACCACATGAACAGCGATCAAGTGGATGACAAAGGGAACGCACTAAACTGCTGGAGTTTATCAAAACACACAGCGGCGTGGGAATGCCTACGGACCTTATGCTAAGAACACACACAACAAGCGACTTAACCAACAGTGGCTGTCCCAAGAAGGAAATAGTTTGAATCTAGGTGAATGTAAATCATACAATAAATATGTGGTTGGGGAAATTCTATGCAAAAAAAAAACTCCTACCCAAATGAACTTTTCAGGGATGATAGGTGGCGGGTGGGTGATCATAAAACCGAAAATATCAAACATTCACCCCTCTGGCGTTTTGCGCTATAGGGGTTGAAAGTGCGCCATTGGCAATTACTTGGTACCTATTGATTTTACAAAAAAATGTTTCAATTAAAAGAAGTGCAACATTATTTGATCTACAATGTTTATCTGAAGACTTTTTTGATTAAGGGTCGTACGTGGTCATAAGCGCTATTTGAAATTTTATAATGAACATAAAAAAATTCAACCAACGTGAAAAAACTTTCTACAGCGCATACAACGTTTTTGCTTTATGAAGTTTTTACTCACCCCCTGCCGTTTTTCCAATATGGGTAGTTTAATTTTTTTTACTTTTTACAAAAAAAATTTCTTGATAAAAGTTTTATAAGATTACATTTCCTACAATTTTTCCTTAATAACTTTTTTTGTAATTCACCCCCATTCAGCGGGGGGACACTTTCCTTAAGGAAATTTTAGTTTTTATACGGGTATATATTGTTTTTTTTTTCTTTTTTCGCCTTAAGTGCACATAAAAAGTTGCAATAAACATCGTATTAGAAGTATTTTTTTTTCACCACCTTTTTGTTTTTAGGGGTAGTTCGACTTTACAAAAAAAATTTATAAAAAAAACTTGTTCGTTTTATTATTTTGAACAAGTTTTCTCAATAATTTTTTTTTGTAAAGTTGAAAATAGGCGAACTACCCCTAAAAAAAACTTCAAACTACCCCTATGGAAACACGGCAGGGGGTGAGTAAAAACTTCATAAAGCAAAAATGTTGTATGTGTTGTAGAAATTTTTTTCGAATTGGTTAAAATTTTTCATTTTCATTATAAAATTTCAAACGGCCCTTATGACCACAGACGGCCCTTAATCAAAAAAGTCTTCAGATAAACATTGTAGATCAAATAATGTTGCACTTCTTTTATTTGAAACATTTTTTTGTAAAATCAATAGGTACCAAGTAATTGCCAATGGCGCACTTTCAACCCCTATAGCGCAAAACGCCAGAGGGGTGAATGTGTGATATCATTGGTTTTATGATCACCAACCCACCCCCTATCATCCCTGAAAAATTAAT